TCCCATGTAGTCGACCGCGGTTCAAGTCCTGGACCTGGTGACTTAAACTCATGTGAGGCGCATGTGCGTGCATGCCCAAGATCCCAAGAGAAGAATGGAGAAGGGATTGCGGTGTGGCCATCCCCCCTAGGGGGTGATTTTTCGCTTTCTGTCTCTCTCTGTCTTTTTGGTGAGTGCATGCGTCCTATAGCAAAAAGCTCTCCAAAAAAAGAAAAAAAGAAAGAAAAAGAGAAACAAATCACTCTGAAGCGTCATTGCCAATGTGAGCAGCCAGATGCAGGCAGCACAGAGGGGCAGGGCCTGGCGAGGGAGGCAGAGGTGGAGACGGCCAGGCTGTGACCAGAGCACTGTATGGAAGTGCAGCCATGGGGGTATAGCTGCCCATGGCCCAGGAGGACGGGGAAAGGAGACCTCCCCGTAGGCAGAGTTCTCACCTCGCACTCCCTCCGACATTTGCCCCTTTTCTTAAAGCCACCACTGTGGCATCTTCTGTCCCAAATCAAGCTCACTCGAGGCCTGTCCTGGCCCACAGCCCTCCATAAGCTACACCGAGCTGCCCATCCTCCTGTGGCCAGAGGGCACTCCCTCTGGGCCTGTCTGCTTCGCCTGCACTGGTCTGCACAGACCCACCTAGCCTCAGCCAAGGCCCTGCACCACGCCCCTCTCTATCACCGCCAGAGCTGGGCCTCGGTCCGGCGACCATGTGCCTCTGTAGCCGAGGCAGTGGCCAAGAAGCACCTGCTCAGTGCAGGGTGCTCAGACCCACAGAGGAGCCGGATGGCGGAGTTGTGGCTCACGTGTGCCAGGGCCAGGGCTGCCTGAAGCTGGGCGTCATGTGTGGCGGCGCAGCCCTGTGGAGGGGCTCTCTCTCTCTCGCTCTCTCTCTCTCGCTCTCTCTCGCTCTCTCTCGCTCTCTCTCTCTCCTTTCTTTCTTTCTTTGCTTCTTGTGCATGCTCATGGAAGAAATAAATGCAACTTCTCTGACAGGGGCATCGGTGGGGGGGAGAAAAGATGCCTTGGAGCTTGGTGATGAAGGCAGCTGAATTCCACAAAGCCAAAGCCGACCGTGTGGTTTGAGCCCCAGGCACGCAGCAGGAAAGCGCGCCGGTGAGTGTGAGCGTGCATGTGCCTAAGATCCCCAAAGGAGGGACAGATGGAGAAGGGATTGCGGTTGACCGTCTCCCATGGGTGTGCTTTCTCACCTCCTCTCTCATGAGCATTTGTGCCCTCTGGGAAAAATTAAAAAGTACCCCCACAGAGAAAGCTGCCCAAAAACTAGGACTGAGAGGAACCAGACAAGAGATGTCCCCAGGGCCTGGGGCCAGGGTGACAAAGGACCACCCAGGAAATATGGAGAAGGGGGTGCTTAGGAAGGTCTCATGGAGGAATCACCTGGGGCCTTTTTGGTGGCTGGGTCCTTTGGGAAGCAGAACCCAAGAAGGAGTGAGAGCCTACAAGGGTTACCGGAGGTGATGCCTGAGAAGGACCAGGGCGAAGGGAACAGGAGGCGGCAGGGGAAGGACCCGGCCTGGCCCAGGTCTGACGGCTGTGGAAGGGGCGGGAGGAAGGGTAAGGGCTGAGGCCTCCGACACGCTGGTGGGGCTCAGTCATAAATATGCCGTGGCGGGGTCCCAGTGGGCCAGGGGTGAGCCGCGTGCCTCCGTGGCCCTCCGGGACCATCTGAAGCTTCTGGGAGTCACAAGGCCTTGTACCAAAAGCTGGGCAGAGCCCACAGACCTCACAGCCAGAGTGGCCCGCCTGCACTTCTCGGAAGTCACCTGCTCTTGTGGAAGGAGATCTGGCAGCACAGTCCCAGAGCTGCCAAGGCGGGCCGGGGAGGGGAGAGAGATGTCTTTAGTTGGGAGGGTGGGGGCAGCACAAGGAATGGCGAGTGGCCAGAACGCACGGGGACTGTCAGAGACAGGTGAGGACGCCTCTGTGGGTAGAACCGAGTGTGTGAGCAGCACGCTGGGGAGACCGAGGCCGGCTGGGCACTGGAGTGGCCGTGGCCGGGGCAGGTTGCTCAGACCCACAGAGGAGCCGGATGGCGGAGTTGTGGCTCACGTGTGCCAGGGCCAGGGCTGCCTGAAGCTGGGCGTCATGTGTGGCGGCGCAGCCCTGTGGAGGGGCTCTCTCTCTCTCGCTCTCTCTCTCTCGCTCTCTCTCGCTCTCTCTCGCTCTCTCTCTCTCCTTTCTTTCTTTCTTTGCTTCTTGTGCATGCTCATGGAAGAAATAAATGCAACTTCTCTGACAGGGGCATCGGTGGGGGGGAGAAAAGATGCCTTGGAGCTTGGTGATGAAGGCAGCTGAATTCCACAAAGCCAAAGCCGACCGTGTGGTTTGAGCCCCAGGCACGCAGCAGGAAAGCGCGCCGGTGAGTGTGAGCGTGCATGTGCCTAAGATCCCCAAAGGAGGGACAGATGGAGAAGGGATTGCGGTTGACCGTCTCCCATGGGTGTGCTTTCTCACCTCCTCTCTCATGAGCATTTGTGCCCTCTGGGAAAAATTAAAAAGTACCCCCACAGAGAAAGCTGCCCAAAAACTAGGACTGAGAGGAACCAGACAAGAGATGTCCCCAGGGCCTGGGGCCAGGGTGACAAAGGACCACCCAGGAAATATGGAGAAGGGGGTGCTTAGGAAGGTCTCATGGAGGAATCACCTGGGGCCTTTTTGGTGGCTGGGTCCTTTGGGAAGCAGAACCCAAGAAGGAGTGAGAGCCTACAAGGGTTACCGGAGGTGATGCCTGAGAAGGACCAGGGCGAAGGGAACAGGAGGCGGCAGGGGAAGGACCCGGCCTGGCCCAGGTCTGACGGCTGTGGAAGGGGCGGGAGGAAGGGTAAGGGCTGAGGCCTCCGACACGCTGGTGGGGCTCAGTCATAAATATGCCGTGGCGGGGTCCCAGTGGGCCAGGGGTGAGCCGCGTGCCTCCGTGGCCCTCCGGGACCATCTGAAGCTTCTGGGAGTCACAAGGCCTTGTACCAAAAGCTGGGCAGAGCCCACAGACCTCACAGCCAGAGTGGCCCGCCTGCACTTCTCGGAAGTCACCTGCTCTTGTGGAAGGAGATCTGGCAGCACAGTCCCAGAGCTGCCAAGGCGGGCCGGGGAGGGGAGAGAGATGTCTTTAGTTGGGAGGGTGGGGGCAGCACAAGGAATGGCGAGTGGCCAGAACGCACGGGGACTGTCAGAGACAGGTGAGGACGCCTCTGTGGGTAGAACCGAGTGTGTGAGCAGCACGCTGGGGAGACCGAGGCCGGCTGGGCACTGGAGTGGCCGTGGCCGTGGCCGTGGTTGGAGGAGGAGCCACGGCGTGAGGCGGGCCCTACTTTGGAGAGGAATCTGGCCACTGTGTGGTACCCGTGGGGCCAGGGCAGGTCCTGGGGTTGGAGATGTGCAGGGGAGAAATCCTGAGGGTGTCAGCATCTGCTGAGGTGGCCCGGGCCTCAGGAGGCCGGCTCCAGCTCCATTACTGGAACCTGGAGCAGGCGGTCCTGCCTCATCTCCCCATTCAGGTGGGCTGAATATGGAGGCCGGACTTGGGGTCTGCCGGTCCCAGCCAGTGGTTGCAAACATCCGAGAGGTGGGGGCTGGATCCCATCCCCTGCCTTGCTGGGAAAATGCAGTGGTGAGGCTGGGACAGCACGGGCCAGCCTGGAGGAGCAGCAGCGCCTGCCTCCCTGCCTTCTGAGCGAGGGCCCCAGGCTCCTGCAGTGCAGACACAGGCCTCCCTTCCCTTGCCCTCCACCCTCCCAACTGGAAGACCCCACCTTCTTGGTGTGACTCAAGGGCCTCGGCACAGCCCGTTCCTTCCGTCTGGTCTGTCTGCCCGCCCCCCACCAGCCTACCCCAATCTTATCCTCCACTGCTTTGCAAAGGAGTCTGGCCAACACAAATCCACGTTTGTTTGTCTGCCTGTCTGCCTCTCCCACCCTCTGCCTCTCCCAGTCTCTCCGCTTCCGTTTGTTTCTCAAAGTTTCTCTTGGTCTCCAGGTCTCAGATGGATGAGGCTTCAACCCCACAGAGCCCTAGATGCCCACTTCCTGGCCTTTCGCCAGGCCCAGATGGCACAGAACTACAAACTCCAGCATGCAATGCTGCCCAAGACTCCTAAAGAGTGCTGGTGCACCCCCACTGCATTCTGGGAATTGTAGTTTCCCAAACCCATTCTCTTCCCAGGGCTCCGTGACCTCCCCCGTGGGCAGGCCCTGCCCGGGCCCTGGTTGCCAGTCTCTGCTGACCTGCCGCCCCAGGGAAACATGCGTCACTGGATGACAGGGTGGGGGTGGAGGCCCTAGATGGCAGCTTCCTGCTCTTTTGTGTCCCCCACTTGAGTCACGGGGAGCGGGAGGGTTCCAGGAAACTGGGGCTGGGAGGGGAAGAGATACCCTAGAGCTAGACTCAAGGACAAAGGGTCACTGCACACTCGCTGGGTCTGTATCCCCACGAACCCCAAAGGACTCAGCGTGGGGCTCCAGGAGCACTCATCTGCAGGGAAGGTGATTCAGGGGACAGCCTGGGGGGGACCTGGCAGTCCCCGTGGTCACGGAGCTGTGCAGTTCCATCCTAGAGGAAGAGGGCTGGGCCCCGTCTCCTGTCTCACTGCCACACCGCTCGCTGCCCATCAACCCTCAGGGCAAGGCTGGAGGAGCTGGGCCACAGGCCTCCCGTCTGGACTGACACCACACAAGGGCCTTGCTGAGCCCTGGCTGCTCCACCCTGCCGTGACCTCATGCCCCAGCTCGAACCCTAGCCTCCGCCGGACACCTGCATTCCCACTTATCAGTTCTGGTCCTCACAGCGGAACCCAGGCGTCCGGCCCCCCACCCTGCGGGCCAGCGGGCGTGGAGCCGAGGCTTTAGAGCCTCCCAGCCCTCCCAGCCGGCCTTGTTCCTGTTCCATTGTGTATGGGCCAGGGGCGGGGCAAGAGCCAGCACTGAAGGCCCCCTCCCATGCCCCATCCCCTTGGCCCCCTCCCTGCTTCCTAAGGAAAAGGTCCAGGCCCTGCTGAGCAAGCGGCAGAGTCCACGCACAGCGACATGGGCAACTTGAAGAGCGTGACCCAGGAGCCCGGGCCACCCTGCGGCCTGGGGCTGGGGCTGGGCCTCGGGCTGTGCGGCAAGCAGGGTCCAGCTTCCCCGGCAAGCGAGCCCAGCCGGGCTCCAGCATCCCCGCCCCCACCCCAACCCGCGCCAGACCACAGGTGAGGGCCCGCAGCCAGGAGCAGGTGGGCAGGAGGGCCGCTGGGCCCACCGGGCCTGAACCCCAGGCTGGGAAAGGCTGAAGCCCACAGTCCAGCTGGAGGACTGGGTTGCCAATGCAAAAGGCAGTGTGGACAGAACAGGACAGCCAGGGAGGCTCCGAGGGAGTCGAGGGTCGAGGCTGTCAGGCTGTGGGTGCAAGTGGGGAGTAAGGGTGCCAGTGGACAACCAAACCCGTGTCTGAGCAGCTACGCAGCCAGACCAGGTTGGAATGCTGCTCTGTTGCTGTGAGCTGTTTGGCGTTGAGCAAGTTGCTCAACCTCTCTGACCTTCCATTATACAAAACGGGACGCAGTAGTACCTATCCCACAGCTACTGTAACTTGCTCGCTTACGGCAAGCCTCCAACAATGCTGCTACCGAGCTGGAGCAGAAAGGAGCTGGGGAGGGGTATTTGTACGCGAGTAAGCAAGTGGCGGGAGAGACCTGGGCTGAGAGGCTCCAGACAGCGCCTGGGCCCTTTTCCTCTGCCCAGGCCCCTTTCCCCAGCAGCCATCAACCTCTAACAGCCTCCAGGATAGTCCCCCAGAGCAGAGTCCCTGGAGGGAGGAAGGACCCAAGCCTGCTGGGGTGCCAGGCCAGGTGGCAGGGCTGAGGACCTGGGCCCTGCCGCTCAGGGCCCGAGTCCCTCCCTTCCTCCCCATGGCTGGCTGACGGCTCTGGGAGGAAGTGATAAGACCTCTGAGGCTTCCCTTCACACGATGGCTACTGTCCGGAGGGGCGTGAGTGGGGCGGGTAATCGGGGCCGAGGAATCCCTGCTGGGGCTTCCCTCCGCTCGGCTAGGGCACCCGGCTCTGTGCCCCTCAGGGTAGGGCTCTCGGCACTTCGAGAACTGGATGCTGGGGGTGAGGACCCAGCCTTCTGAGGACCAGGACAGGGAGCTCTGTGCTGGCCACCTAGGCGCCAGGGCCTGCGGGTGGTCTGCACCCACCCAGCTGGGCCCCTCCCCTGTGAATGGTGCAGACGTGGTCTGTCTCCTGAGGGGCAGCGAGAACCCCACAGAGGAGGCCAGGAAGCCCAGACAGGAGGACTGGAAGTCCAGCGATTAACCAGGCACTGGAGGGGCCTTGGAGCCACCCTGGGAGGCCTCCCCTTGACCCATCCCTGGCTCCCAACAGCCCCCCACTAACCCGGCCCCCAGAGGCACCCAGGTTCCCCCGTGTGAAGAACTGGGAAGTGGGCAGCATCGCCTACGACACGCTCAGCGCACAGGCCCAACAGGTGAGTCAGGGCCCCGGGCACCCACACGGGCTGGGGGGGCTCTGCCCTGCTCTGAATTGGCCCCAGGTCTTCAAAAAGAGGCGAGGACACCCAGCCTCCAGCCTTTACCCCACGTCCGGGCCACGCTCTGCCCTAAGCCAGCCCAATTGTACCCGATTTCCAGCCTCAGGTCTGGCTCAGTCCCACCTCCCTGGGCAAACTCCTGCCTCTAGGCCCAGCCCACCCGTACCCCTGCACCCCAGCCTGGTCCCCACCTTTGTGCTCCCTGCTCCCCTGACCCAGGATGGACCCTGCACCCCAAGACGCTGCCTGGGCTCCCTCGTATTTCCACGGAAGCTGCAGAGCCGGCCCCCCACGAGCCCTCCGCCCCCTGAGCAGCTGCTGAGTCAGGCCCGGGATTTCATCCACCAGTACTACAGCTCTATCAAGAGTTAGGGCTCCCACACACCACCCGCCCCAGGCCACTGAGGCCCCAGCACTTGCAACCACCTTGCCTGGAACCCAGCTCCTCGCCCCAATCCTGGCCCCTGCAGGGCCCGACTCCCCCACACTCCTCCCTGGCACGCACACACACGCCTGCCCCCCAACTTCTCTCTCACCCTGTCCCAGGAGCGGGTCCCAGGCCCATGAGCAGCGTCTTCAGGAGGTGGAGACAGAGGTGACAGCCACAGGCACCTACCAGCTTCGGGAGAGTGAGCTGGTGTTCGGGGCCAAGCAGGCCTGGCGGAATGCCCCGCGCTGCGTGGGCCGGATCCAGTGGGGGAAGCTGCAGGTGTGCCAGCGTGCCGCGTTCACAGGGTCTGGGGCACAGACAGAGCAGCCAGGTGCATCTCCTGAGGCTTCTTGGGACAGCCAACAGTTGGGGGGGGGATCCTGCCCATTCCCTTAGAGACCAGCAAAGAGGGGACAAGCCCCCTCCTGGTACCTCAGGGGAGCCCTCAACCAGTAGCTAAAGCACCCGGTTATTGAGCCCCACAGCAGAGCTTCGACTGGCATGGGGGGAAATCCTAGACCCTGTGAATTAGCTGTGTAGTGGGTGGTACTGTTGGGGTACCAGGGACAGCCCCTGGGGAAGGCCCCCACTGGCCGCCCCGCTAGTCCCCTCACCCCACACTCACTGCCTCAGCCACCCCTCCACGCCAGCACCAGACCCAGGTCCCTGAGAGAAGCAAGCAGGTTTCTCGGAGGGAAAGTGGACCCGTGGCCTTGGCCTCTGTAGCTGGCTGTCACCGGCTGCCAATGAACGGGGAGTAGAACCACGTGCTAGAGAACCCCAGGGGCGTCTCGACTGGCCCGTCCCAGCTGCTCAAAGCCTCGCTGCACTCTGGACCCTCCTGAGCTCTCCTAACCACCCCAGTGGCACAAGTCTCCTCCTCCCTCGGGGCAGGATCAGACCTCCCAGCCTCCTCCTGGAGCCTCCACTCAGTGGGTCCTGCTGGCTCCTCCTAGCGTCAGAGTGCCAGGGTTAGCAGGTCCCCAGAAACTGCCCAGTGAGGCCCCATCCCCACCAGCAATGTGCCCAAGGGAAGTCAGAGGACTGGGCCCCCTGCCTCTACTGGAGCAGTGTGGTTAACAGGCAGCTCGGCATCTGCATCCCTAGGGGGTCCCTGCCAGTCAGTGCCCTTCCTCAAGCACCGGCGTGGCCACAGAGGGCCCTCCTCTGTGTCAGATGCCAAATCAGCTGGGGCACTTGAGGGAAGAGGGTGCAGGGTAGGAAGGGGCCCGTGTGGGTGTGAGTGGTCAGGGAGGTGCCCAGAGAAAGAACTAAGGCTCACCTCGCCCTGCTCCTTCCCAGTGAGCCAGGCCAGGGCTCCTGCGGCTTTTACTGACCCCCACCCTCAGCCCTGCCTCCTCTCCCGCCTCTCCGGTCAGGTGTTCGATGCGCGGGATTGCAGATCTGCCCAGGAGATGTTCACCTGCCTCTGCAACCACATAAAATATGCCACCAACCGAGGCAACCTCCGGTGAGCGCCCCTGCCGCCCAGACCCTGCCTCCCCGGCTGCGGGAAGTCAGGCTCTGATCAGCTCTCCCTGGTCAGCTCGGCCATCACAGTGTTCCCCCAGCGCTGCCCGGGCCGCGGAGACTTCCGGATCTGGAACAGCCAGCTGGTGCGCTATGCAGGCTACAGGCAGCAGGACGGCTCTGTGCGCGGGGACCCGGCCAACGTGGAGATCACCGAGGTGGACACGGGAGCTGGCCCACCCGGGGTCCCCAAGGCAGAGAATGGGGAAGCCAGTGGCATGAGGTCTGGGGGGGAGGTTCGGCCAAAGAGGGGGCGAAGCAGGAAGAGGGGCTCCTGGGCCAGCCGAATGGCATGTGGTTAGGGTAGCTGGATCCCACATGACCAACTGTGCGTTCAAGTCCTGGACCCAGGGTCTTGAAATAACACTGGGCTGGTGTGTGCGCATGCGCGAAAGCCCGAGTGGAAAGTAAGCGAGCAGGCGTTTCGACATGGCACTCCCTCCCAAGGTGTGCTTTCTTACTTTCTCTCTCTCCTTCTCTGTCTCTGGTGAGCACACATACCCGATAAAAAAAAAGTTTAAAAATTAAAAAAAGAAAAGAAAAGAATAGAGAGGGGCCAGCAGATGGCACATGGTTACATCACTGGACTCCCGCGTAGTCGACCGCGGTTCAAGTCTTGGGCCGGGCGACTTAAAACTCATGCCAGGCACATGCATGTGCGTACCCAAGATCCCGAGAGGAGAATGCAGAAGGGATTGTGGTGTGGCCATCCCATGGGGGGGGAGCTGGGGGGGAGTGGATTTCTTACTTTCTGTCTCTCTGTCTCTCTGTCTCTCTGGTCAGTGTACACACCTGTGCCCTATAGCAAAAATCTCTTTTAAAAAAAGAAAAGAATAGAGGATCCTTCCTTGAGATGAAGGATGGAACATGCCAGAGGGGGTCCCCAGGATGGCCACAGAGACCCAGCCCACAGGGGATCCTGGGGATGAGGATGGGGCACAGCTGGCAGAGGGGTCCCGGAGGAGGGGGAGGTAGAGCCTGCGGACACCCCCCACCCCCACAGCTCTGCATTCAGCACGGCTGGACCCCAGGGAACGGCCGCTTCGACGTGCTGCCCCTGCTGCTCCAGGCCCCCGACGAACCCCCGGAGCTCTTCACCCTGCCCCCCGAGCTGGTCCTCGAGGTGCCCCTGGAGCACCCCAAGTGAGCACGAGAGGGACTGGGTGGGGCAGGGCTATTCCCGGGCCCCTGGAGGAGTCTGATGCTAGCCTGGCACCCCCAGGCTGGAGTGGTTCGCGGCCCTGGGCCTGCGCTGGTACGCACTGCCGGCCGTGTCCAACATGCTGCTGGAGATCGGGGGCCTGGAGTTCCCCGCGGCCCCTTTCAGCGGCTGGTACATGAGCACGGAGATCGGCACGCGCAACCTGTGTGACCCGCACCGCTACAACATCCTGGAGGTCAGGACGGGCGCCAGCCCACAGGCCCGTAGACAGCACCCCTGAGAATCCGAACCCGAGAGGAGGCGGCTCCGGAGACACTGAGGCTGGGGCAAAGGGGCGTGTGCATGGGTGTGTCCGTGTGCGTGTGCATGTCTGTGCCTGTGCGTATCCGTGTGTCTGTGTTCATGTCTGTGTGTGTCCATGTGCATGTGTGTGTGTCTGTGCGTCCGTATTTGTGTGTGTGTGTCTCTGTACGTGTGTCTGTGTGTGAGAGTGTGTGTGCCTGTGTGTGGGTGTGTGTGCCTGTGTGTCCCTGTATGTGGGTGCGTGTGTGTGTGTCTGTGTGTGTCTATGTGTGTCTGTATGTGTGTGCCTGTGGTGTGGTCTGTGTGTGTGTCTGTGTGTGCCTGTGTGTGTCTCTGTGTCTGTGTGTGTCTATGTGTGTGTCTGTGTATGTGACTGTGTGTGTGTCTGTGTGTGCCTGTGTGTGTCTCTGTGTCTGTGTGTGTGTCTCTGTGTGTGTCTATGTATGTGTCTGTATATGTATCTGTGTGTGTGTCTGTGTGTGCCTGTGTGTGTCTCTGTGTCTGTGTGTGTCTCTGTGTGTCTATGTCTGTGTATGTGTCTGTGTGTGTGTATGTGCCTGTGCCTGTGTGTGTGTCTCTGTGTCTCTGTGTCTGTGTGTGTGTGCCTGTGTCTGTATGTGTGTGTGTGTGTCTGTGTATGTGTGTGTGTGTCTGTGTAGGTGTGTGAATATTCAGTTTTTATTTTGCCAGGTTTAGGCGCTATAGCCTCATACCTGTCATGAGATTCTCAAAGGGGACCTTGACTCAGTTAAGACCCGTTTTAGAGGTGAGAAATTAAGGCCCAGAGCAAGAAGTGACTGGCCCAGGGTCCTCTCCGCCTGGTGCCTGAAGCAGCCCCACACTAGGCAGTCAGGCCTCCCAATGGCCACCGGCCCACCTCATCCCTTCCACCCACGAGTTCAGGGCAGAGATACGCCATCCAGCCCACCGCCCCCTCTGCCCCTGCAATGCCTCACACCCTGCTCCAGGACGTGGCTGTCTGCATGGACCTGGACACCCGGACCACCTCGTCCCTGTGGAAAGACAAGGCTGCAGTGGAGATTAACCTGGCCGTGCTGCACAGCTACCAGGTACACAGCCCGGAGGGCCAGGTTGGGGCCAGGCTGGCCACAGACAAGAGCGAGGCCCCCAGGAACTGGAGCAGGACTCTGGAGGGGGAAGCAGTTCTGAGGGCCGGGCGCACGGGCACACTGGCCCGCAGCACTGGGATACGGCGTATTCTGGTCTGTGGCGCGGCCTGGCGTATGCCAGTTTCGCTGATCAGTGTGTGCTCGGTAATTTTGACTCGCAGGGCACATGGGAGTCTGTGGGACCCCCAGGATCCTGCAAACTGACACCAAGATCGAGGCCATGCAGTGCATGCCGGGAGTCATAGTTTGAGCAATCTAGTGCCTGCTGAGTACTTCGGGAGGGGGGGGTCTCGAGAGTTTAGGACAGTTCAGTGGAGGGGCACACAGGGACACCCACCATCAGAGCTGCGACATGCTGGCTTGAAGCAGGACCATGCATGCTGCAGTCTGGGGTGACACTGGCTTAAGGGGACACAGCATCTGTTAGACACGGGGTGACCCAAGACACAGTGTGGTTGGGGTGGCAGAGGGGGTGGAGGTGGGTGGGGTCTGCAGGCTGCGTCTGAGCCGTCCCCCACCCACAGCTGGCCAAAGTGACCATTGTGGACCACCACGTTGCCACCGCATCCTTCATGAAGCACCTGGAGAACGAGCAGAAGGCCCGGGGCGGCTGCCCTGCCGACTGGGCCTGGATCGTGCCCCCCATCTCGGGCAGCCTCACTCCTGTCTTCCATCAGGAGATGGTCAACTACTTCCTGTCCCCTGCCTTCCGCTACCAGGTGCCTGCCCAGCAGCTCCTGTCCCCCTAGTTTAGCTGAGCAGCACGGGGACTCCAGGCCTTTCGTCCTCTTTACTCATGCCCCCCCACCTCCTGCAGCCGGACCCCTGGAAGGGGAGTGGAGCCAAGGGCACCGGCATCACCAGGAAGAAGACCTTTAAGGAAGTGGCCAAGTAGGTACCTGGGGTGCCGCCCCACACACACCCTAGGGGACCCGCCTGGGGAGGCCCGACTCCACACCGGGGGAGGCCCTCACCCCGCCCATCCCCGCAGTGCGGTGAAGATCTCGGCCTCGCTCATGGGCACAGTGATGGCAAAGCGAGTGAAGGCGACCATCCTGTACGGCTCTGAGACCGGCCGGGCCCAGGGCTACGCGCAGCAGCTGGGGAGGCTCTTCCGGAAGGCTTTCGACCCCCGGGTAGGGCTGGGCCCGGAGGACCGGGGAGGTGGGAAGAAGGGAGTCCATTAGCACCTTCAGAAATGCCTTAGTGGACAAAAGAGGGCCATTACTCCAGGCCGCAAGGACACCCAGAGTCCCCAGCTCCTCTGTCACCCCTCTGTCACCCACAGGTCCTGTGCATGGATGAATACGATGTGGTGTCTCTCGAGCACGAGACGCTGGTGTTGGTGGTGACCAGCACATTTGGGAATGGGGACCCCCCGGAGAATGGAGAGGTGAGGCCTCCCATGAAAGGGACTTCATGAGGGCAGACTTGCAACTGTGCTGACTGGACAGGACACACATGCACACGCAACACCCCCTGGGGTGGGGGTGATGTCGAGAGAGTCCCCAGAGCTGGGGCAGGGATGTGCCGCTGGGACCCTGAGCTTGCATAAACTGCACTCCCGGCCCGCCATTGTGGTCACCCACGACCCGGGCCCTACACACACACACACACACACACACACACACACAGTCGTTTCGTGTGTCGCTGAGTCATTTCCATTAACAGCACAAGTCTGTAACGTAAGGAAGGCTCCTCCGGCTGGCAGGAGGTTAGACTGCCCTCGGGCATCACCGAGTGAAAACAGAGTGCCCACTCAGCACACCACCTCAGCTTTCTCTTCCCTTCCTCCAAGAAAGGACCGCAGTTCAGGTGTCGCCATAGATTAGAACTCTACTTGATCACAGGATCTTAAACAAACAACTCAAGCACCACCTGGAGTGCTGTGCATGCATGTGTGTGCTATGTGTGCATGTGTGTGTGCATATGCTGTGCATGTGTGTATGTGTGCATATGCTGTGCATGTGTGTATGTGTGTATATGCTGTGCATGTGTGCATGTGTGCATATGCTGTGCATGTGTGTATGCATGTGTGTGCATACGTGCACGTGTGAGTGTGTGTATGTGTGCATGTATGTGTGCATATGCTGTGCATGTGTGTATGTGTGTATATGCTATGTGTGCATGTATGTGTGCGTATGCTGTGCATGTATGTGTGCATATGATGTGCATGTGTGTATGTGTGTATATGCTATGTGTGTATGCATGTGTGTGCATGTGTGCCCGCGTGAGTGTGTGTATGTGTGCATGTATGTGTGCATATGCTGTGCATGTGTGTATGTGTGTATATGCTATGGGTGTATGCATGTGTGTGCATGTGTGCACGCGTGAGTGTGTGTGTGCATGTATGTGTGCATATGCTGTGCATGTGTGTATGTGTGTACATGCTATGGGTGTATGCATGTGTGTGCACGCATGCACGCGTGAGTGTGTGTATGTGTGCATGTATGTGTGCATATGCTGTGCATGTGTGCATGTGATATGCTATGTGTGTATGCATATGTGTGCACGTGTGAGTGTATGTGTGCATGTGTGCACATATGTGTACGTATATGCTGCTTGTATGTGCATATGTGAGTGTGTATGTGTGTTGATGTGTGTGCGCATATGTGTGCGTGTGTGCATGTGTATATATGTGTTAGTGTGTGTACGTGTGTGTGTCCGTGTGTGTGTGTGTGTCCGTGTGTGTGTGCATGTGTGCGTGCATGTGTATATGTCTGGGCTGCCCCAAGCTGGAGTCGCTTCTGGTCCTTTTATCTGTTCTAGCTTCTAGTGTAAAATGCCTTACCTGCTCCAGAACCTAAAACAAGCTTGAATTCTGCAGGAGGCAAGTCTTCCCCAATGCCTTAACGCCATCTCAGCCCTTTCTCTGATCTGCCTCTTAAAGAAAAATAGCAGCATTGGGCCAGCCAGGTGGTATGGTGGTTAAGATGGCTGGAACCCTTAAGGTTGACTGTGGTTTGAGTCCTGGACCTAGAGGTTTTGAAAACACGCTGGGCACGTGTGTGTGCGTGCCCAAAATCCCGAGGGTAAAGTGGAGGAGAAGGGATTGTGGCCTGACCATTCCCCCCACACCCCGGACGGTTTCTCACTTTCCCTTTTCTCTGTCTTTCACTATTGAGCACATGTGTCCCATAGCAAAAAAAAAAAAAAAAGCATCACTAATCACTATTTTTAGCACAGAAGTAGTCTATGCCCATGTAACCCACACCCCTCACGATACCCAGAACACGTCCATCATGCTAGAAAACGCCCTCGTCAATCCTTGCACATCAATCTCCCAACCAGAAGCAACTGCTGTTGGGATTTCTGTCACGAGACGGGTCCCCCGCTCTAGAACTTCACGTGACCTGAGATTGGGCGTCTGTCGCTCAGCCGTTTGCAGGAGTTCGCTGTGATTCTGCGCTCTGTTCCCTCCACTGCCGCGGAGTGTGCATTGCACGGACACCCTGCTGGTTAGCGTTCCCCTGCTGAGGGCCGTCGGGCGGTCCCACCTCAGTGCTAGTATGAACAAAGCTGTCACGAGCATTCTCAGACCAGGCTTTTGTGGGTCTATGTTTTCATTTCTCCTGGATAAATACCAGGAGTAGAATTACAGCATCCATAAGGTAGATGGATGCTTAACTTTTAAATTTTTTTAAATAATTCTTTATTTATTTTAATAATTCTTTTTTACTTTTAAATAATTCTTTATTTAATTTTATTTATTCATTCAGTCGTTTTAATTTGACGAGAGAGATGGAGAGAGAGGAAGTGAGAAAGCAAGCCACTAGGTCCAGGATTCGAACCATAGTCAGCCATGTGGGAGTGTCCAGCACCTTAACCACCACACCACCTGCTGGTCCCAACTTTTTAATTTTTTAAATTGTATTTTAAGAGGTTCTTGTCTTAGAGCACATGCACTTGCTGGAGAGAGGGAGAGACAGAGACAGTGAGAGGGAAAGTGAGAAATCACCCCCCTCCCCGGGGGGCGGTGGCTACACCCCAATCCTTTCTCCTCCATTCTCCTCCTGGGATCTTGGGCATGCACGCACATGCCCAGCATGATTTTGAAGCCACTGGGTCTGGGACTTGAACCGCAGTCGACCATGGGGGAGTTCAGCAATGTAACCACTATGCCATCTGTTGGTTCCTCATCTTATTTTTTTTTTTAATAAAACTGCCAGTCTGTGTACTTCGATGTATGTTAATTTTACCTCAAATGTTTTTTTTAAAGAGGTTTTTGCTATAGGGCATGTGCGCTCGCCAGACAGAGAGAGACAGAGAGACAGAAAGCGAGAAATCACCCCCCAGGGGGATGGCCATGCCACAATCCCTTCTCTTCCATTCTCCTCTCGGGATCTTGGGCACGCATGCACACGCGGCCGGCGTGAGTTTTAAGCCACCGGGTCCAGGACATGAACTGCAGTCGACTACGTGGGAGTCCAGCGACCTAGCCATTACGCTAACTGCTGGACCCACCTCAAATGTTTTAAAATAGGGAAAATCTAGGAATTTATCACATGGAAAATGGGGTACCTTCACTACATGGGTGAACGAGAATGTTTATAGCAATATCATTCGTAACACTCCACACCAGAAACACCACAAGTGTCTGTCAGTGGCAATTGGGACATACAGTGGCGATGTAGCAGATGTGGCTCAGCACTAAGTGAGATCAAGTGACAGCCACGCGTGACAACGCAGATGCGGCTCACAATGTGCAGAGCCTGGTAGCCAAGGGAAGCCAGACCCACATGGCTGACTGCAGTTCGAATCCTGGCCCCTATGGCTTGAAAAACACACTGGGTATGTGTGAGTATGTGCCCCAAATCCCAGCAGGGTGGAGAAATGGAAGAGAAGGGATTGTGGTCTGACCACATCCAGTGGGGTCCTTTCTCTCTCTGTCTTTCTATCTCTCTAACTCTGGTAAGCCCTATGGCTAATAAAAATAACAATAATTATTTAAAAAAAAAAAAAGAATGAGATCAGGGGGTGTGCAGGTTAAAGACGTTGGACTCCCACTTGGCTGACTGTGGTTCGAGTCCTGGACCTGGTGGCTTGCTTTCTAACATTGTGTGTGTGTGTGTGTGTGTGTGTGAGTGTGAGTGCATGTGTGTGTCTCACTCTACCCCTCTCTGGTCAAATTAAATGAAAGAAAGAAAGAATGAAAGATTTTTTTTTTTAGAGAGATTTTTGTTACAGGGCACGTGTGCTCGCCAGAGAGACAGAGAGACAGAAAGCGAGAAATCACCCCTCAGGGGGATGGCCATGCCGCAATCCCTTCTCCTCCATTCTCCTCTCGGGATCTTGGGCACGCACACGCACCCAGCATGAGTTTAAGCCACCAGGTCCAGGACTCAAACCACAGTCGCCTACATGGGAGTCCAGCAATGTAGCCATTACACCATCTGCTGGTCCCAAAAAGAAAAGAAAAAAAGAATGAGGTCGGCTCTGATGTCCTGGGCTGGAAGAATGTTCATGATATATTTTGTTTGTTTTACTTCTTTTTTTTTTTTTAATTTGCTAGAGGACACATGTGCTTACCAGAAAGAGAAAGAAAGTGCCCCCCACAGGGGATGATCAAGCAATAATCCCATCCCCATTTCTCCTTCCTTTTGGGATTTTGGACACACATGCACACACACACCTGTTGTGTCTCCCAACCATCAGGCCCAGGACCAAGCACTGGCCACGTGGAATCCAGCCACCATAACCACTGGGCCACTGACTGGCCCAGAATAGGTCATGGATAGAAAGCAGAAACACATGTCTCTCCACATGGAGATATGGAGAGATGGAACATGGCCCATCCGCAGTAGTGCACACCGGATACTATTGTTCAACTGGCCGGGGCCACATAGGAGACCCAGGTTCTGTTCCTGGCCCTGGCTGGACGTGGTAGCACACGCCTGTGGTCCCAGCTACTCGGGAGGCTGAAGCAGGAGGATCGCAACATGTTAAAACCCTGTCTAAAAACACCACACACACACACACACACACACACACACACACACACCTGCATGTGAGTACAGTGAAGAGGGCTGCAGCTAGCAGTGCGTGTGCCTTGGAGGCAGGACTGGGGGAAACAGAACGGCTCTTCTCTTCAGCACCTTACACACTTGTTTAGAGAGAAAGATTTTTGCTATAAGGTGTGTACACTGGCCAGAGAGACAAGAGAGACAGAAAGCGAGAAATCACCCCCCGGGGGGGATGGCCATGCCACAATCCCTTCTCCGTTCTCCTCTCGGGATCTTGGGCACGCACGCGCACGCGCCTGGTGTGAGTGTCAAGCTGATCCCAACCCTTTCCACACTCCTGTAAGGTCATTTTTCAAAAAAGTCAATACCGTTTTTGAAATTTTCAAAGTAAAAATGGAAGGTTACACATAAACAAGGGCCAGCCTGATGGAGTTTTAGACATCCACATCATTTGAAGCAGAACGGCACTAACCACACGACACGCCCTCCTCCGACAGAGCTTCGCAGCAGCCCTGATGGAGATGTCCGGCCCCTACAACAGCTCCCCCCGGCCTGAGCAGCACAAGTGAGGAGGGCGGGCTCTCGGGGGCTGGGGAGGTCTGAAGAGTTCTCTGGAGCTCTGTACCTCAAGGACAGAAGCAGGCTGGGCCCCCATCGCAACCCCAGGGTCCCTTCCGCAGGACTCTAAGAGACCAGACAGCCCCGAGGTCTCCTTCCCGGCTCAGAGCCCCCTGGGTGCCAGCCCTCAGCCCCTCCCAAGGGCAGGCCCTGTCGCACCCCGAGGCAGAGCTCCTGCAGCTGCCCCTGCTGTGGCCAGCTCCTGTGACACCCTGCCTTTATCCTCTCTCTCCAGAAGTTACAAAATCCGCTTCAACAGCGTCTCCTGCTCAGACCCTCTGGTGTCCTCTTGGCGGCGAAAGAGGAAGGAGTCCAGTAACACAGACAGTGCAGGGGCCCTGGGCACCCTCAGGTCAGGGCCCCCTCCGGTGGGCGGGTAAGCTGCCTGGCTGACACCGGCTGGGACGCACATCCAGTGACTCCTCCCTGCACCACAGGTTCTGTGTGTTCGGGCTGGGGTCCCGGGCATACCCCCACTTCTGCGCCTTTGCCCGAGCGGTGGACACGCGGCTGGAAGAGCTGGGCGGGGAGCGGCTGCTGCAGCTCGGCCAGGGCGACGAGCTGTGTGGCCAGGAGGAGGCCTTCCGCGGCTGGGCCCAGGCCGCCTTCCAGGTGAGCCCACTCCCACTGGGGACGCCTTCCTCGCCTGCACTCTGCAACCAGGGCGGCTGGAGGCCACGCTGCACCTGACTCGGGCTGGTCCCCTGGTCCCTTCCTGTGCCTTCAGCAGGGCACAGCCAACCCTCCCGGCTGTCCCAAGGAGAGGATGACAAGGCCCCACTAAGGATGAGAGGGGCCTGGCCCAGCCAGAGTGCAGCCAACGAGAGCAGCCAGGGCCGAGCAGGAGTTGGGCACACCGAGGGCACCCTGCCCAGGGCCAGCAGGACGCAGGGGGTGGGAAAGGGTGGAGGACATTCAGATAGAAGCAGAGCTGAAGTCCAGGCCAGCACACAAGCTCCAGGAAGTCGGACCAGACTGATGGGGCGGAGCGTGGACCAGAGGTGTGGTGCTGGGCTGGAGTACAGGAGAGGTGGGGCCAGAGCTGAGGCTTTCTAAGCCCGGGCTTCCCAAGGGGGCAGTGCTGCCGTCCGGTATTATGCCTGTTGCTCATGCCCCGGGTCCTGAGAGGTCAGGGCAGTACCACTCCAGGGTCAGTGGCCTGAGCTCAGCAGTCGGGCCTGATGCCCAGCAAAGTGTCCTGGGCTGGGGGAACTGCCTGGTGGAGAGAAGTTCAGGCTGAAGAAGCAGACCCAGGCTGGGAAGAGGGGAATGGGAAAGATCTGGCAACTGAGACAAAAGGGGCCACTGGCGGGGACCAGCAATTAGCGTAATGGCTATGTCACTGGACTCCCATGTAGTCAACCGCGGTTCAAGTCCTGGAACCGGTGGCTTAAACTCACACCAGGCGTGTGTGCGTGCGTGCCCAAGATCCCGAGAGGAGAATGGAGGAGAAGGGATTGCAGCGTGGCCATCCACCCTGGGGGGTGATTTCTCACTTTCTGTCTCTCTGTCTCTCTCTCTCTGTCTGGCGAGCGCACGTGCCCTATAGCACAAAAACCTCTTCAAAAAAAAAGGGGGGGGAACCCCCAACGTGAAGTTGGAGGACTACTCCTTCATGGTATGGGATCAATTAGCACATCATCGGCCAGAAGCAGGAAGGCCAAGCTAACACGGCTAACACGGCGGGGAACAGTGGGGGTAGGAAGGAAGGGAGGGGGCCAGGGAAGGAAGGAAGAGATACGAGACTTCGCACACCACAAAGGAAAGACTACCCGGCCTGGTGATACGGGCTCGGCCGACCACAGAGAAGACCTGCATTTCAGGCCTGCACTGCCTGAGCAGTTGGCGAGGTTCATGCCAGACTAGAAACAGGACACAGGGTCCTGCCGGGGCCCCGCTGCCCGGTTTCTGTGTCTCTCTCCAGAAGCATGTGCCCCCGCGCATGCTGTGCTAAGGGCCTTCTGTAAAGCATCTCCTTAGATGTCCCCCAGAACCCCGTGGGCCATAACATGGGCAGGCCGGGAACGCTGGGCACAGGGCACAGGCACCGCGGCCCATGCTCCCTGGGACGTGGGGCTATCACCGGCCAGATGAGTGTCCACTAGGGGTGACAAGCGTCGGCAGGTGCTGAGTAGCAGCTAGTGGGTCCCTGAGCCCAGTGGCCAAGCCGTGAAACAGGCTGGAGGACAAGGTGCCGTGGTCAGTGCTGGCCTCTGCCTGTCGAGCTCATTCTGGCTCCTGCCCTGGGGCCGCCAACGCTGTAGGGGCAAGACTCGGGCCGCCGGGCTCTGCAGCGCACAGGCGTGCAAGAGGCGCTCGGGTGCGCCGTGTCCTCCTCTCCCCACGCGGCTCCTCACCGGGTTCACTCCCAGCCCTCACTGTGTCCTACAGGCCTCCTGTGAAACTTTCTGTGTGGGAGAGGATGCCAAGGCCGCCGCTCGAGACATATTCAGCCCCAAACGAAGCTGGAAGCGCCAGCGGTACCGGCTGAGTACACAGGCCGAGGGCCTGCAGCTGCTGCCAGGTGAGCCCCTGCCCTGCCCTGCCCTGGCCCTGCTCTGGGATCTCTGGGGCCCAGCCCTCACTCACACAGGGCCAGGCCCTGCTCCCTGGCTTAGGCCCAGTCCTGCTTGCCCCTGCCCAGGCCTCAGCCACGTGCACAGGCGGAAGATGTTCCAGGCTACCATCCTCTCAGTGGAAAACCTGCAAAGCAGCAAGTCCACGTGAGGAAGACCCTGACCCTCCCACCTGCCCCAGCCCCTCTGTCCCCAGACTCCATCACCTCCCCTTCCCATGTTCTCCCACTACCCCATCTCGGAGCCCTCCTAATGGCCCCCTCTCCCCACCCCAGCCGGGCCACGATCCTGGTGCGCCTGGACACTGGAGGCCAGGAGGGGCTGCAGTACCAGCCGGGGGACCACATAGGCATCTGCCCGCCCAACCGGCCGGGCCTGGTGGAGGCACTGCTGAGCCGCGTGGAGGACCCGCCCCCGCCTGCAGAGCCTGTGGCAGTGGGGGAG